GTTGGACTAGATAAGTATAGACATTTTAAAATAAGATCACAATGATAAATATTTCAATTTTCTACATAGACTCTTTGCTTGTATGGTTGACGTCGTAGTACAATATGTTGATGTTTTTTTTTAATTCAGCTCATCTTTTCTTTTTTAGTTCTTCTTCTGTTGATCGTCCCATTCCTTCTGTCCAACTTGAACAACAATAGTGACTAAACACTTTCAGTCATATAACTAGACAGTAAGTATGTGTAACTGGGCCCGTATGACGTATGCATAAAGCTACTTAAGTTAAGATTTGTTCCGAACGGACGGATTTTTCAACATGTCCTACGATAAATTAGTATTATGATTGGATATCTTAACATAAGTAGAATATGCATACGGGCCCTGATATCGATAGAACTGAGATTTGTAGACGAACTAAACAAACAATCTACAAAAGTTCTTTAAAATAGTTTAAATATCTTAATTTATATAAGAATAAGAAGATATGGTATGATTGCCAATGAGGAAACTATCCACCAAAGTTCAAATGAAGTGGATGTAAGCATTTGTTGGCAATCGTACAGACTTCAACAATGAGAAAATACCATACCGTATGGTCGGCTATACAAGTCACCGACATGAACAATGTGAAACAATTCAATCGAGAAAACTAACAGCCTAATTTATAACTAATTTTTAATTTTTATTTTAAAACTGTTATTGTGTCTTTTTTTTAAATTAAAAAAAAAAAAAAAACAGATATGGAAATGTTTTCGCTTATAGTAGTTTTGTTTAGAACCTCTTAAACATATCATTGCTGCAAAAATTGACAAGAAAACGTTTGAGTCTTTTAACCAATTAATTGATTGATTGCTGGTTTCTAGTCCAGTGGCAAATAACCATATTCCAAATTATACTATATTTTCAAAAAGATATCAGGAATCGGTACATTAGACACATGTTAAACGAAGTTCTCAAAAACAAATGATTGTTTTTAGAAGGCTCTAAACACTCAAAATATGTTAAACTCTTCAATTAAATCTAAACAGTAAAACATATGATTCCTTCTGTGTTTAAATTGAACCAATACATTTATATATACAAATTAAGGAGATGTGCTATGATTTCCAATGAGACAACTATTCACAAGGGACTAAAATGACAAGGATGTAAACATGTACAGGGCACCTATACGACCTGCATGATTCTCTATTGAATATAGTATAGTAAGGTATAAAAGGCCCCGGATTGACAAAATGTTCAATTCAAAAATGAAAACCAACAGCTACATTTGAATAGTCTTTTTTTTTTTAATTATTTAAAAAACGGGATTATTATGTTACAAAAAAATCAATATGAACACATACTGGCATTTAAACGTATTTTTAAAACAATCAATGATTTATTTTGTACATTTCTTTCGTAATTGTCATTGATATATGATCTTAAGCACATTTTCTGACAACGAATTATAAAATTATTTATTGAAAATTTTATATTAATTTCAAATGCTGCATGTCTGTCAGTTAATTTCACGTACATTCCAAATAAAATAGAGTTTGATATTGTTTTGTCGTGATGGGTGATCCCACATAGGGGCACACCTATGATAACATAAATATAAGAAGATGTGGTATGAGTGCCAATGAGACAACTCTCCATCCAAGTTACAATTTGTAAAAGTAAACCATTATAGGTCAAAGTACGGCCTCCTTCAACACGGAGCCTTGGCTCACACCGAACAGCAATCTATAAAGGGCCCCAAAATTGACTAGTGTAAAACCATTCAAACAGGGAAACCAACGGTCTAATCTATATAAAAACGAGAAACACTTTATGAACTTCATTAACAAACGACAACCACTGAACATCAGGTTCCTGACTTAGGACAGGTGCAAACAAATGCAGCAGGTTCAAACGTTTTGATAGGCGCCAACCTTCACCCTAACCTGAAACAATAGTGTAACATCACAAAATAGAAAGACACACTATACTATATCAATTGAAATGTGTCCATTTACCTGTTATCATGTTTTAACAGTTTGATATTATTTTGCAGATGAATTTTTTTTCCATTAGATTATTATAGCTAATGGTTTGATGCAGTGACCGACATGACATGCTTTGATGAAGAACTACCACCATATAACAGCTTGTCCAGGGGTACAATGTGAATAAAAATCATCGATATCTTTCTTTACTAAATAAAATATATTTTAAGTTAAATATTCTTTGCGTTTATATTTTCTTAGCATCACGATGCGGAGCTACTTGTTTCATACGATATACATGCCATCTTCAAATTATAACTTAACAACAGTTAGTGGTATTAAGATCTATTAAGGTGGCAGGGTAGTATTTCCTGGCTCATATGGAAAATAATAAGCCTTTTTAGAATTTGCACCACGTTCTAACACTGCCCAACAGCCTACATACACAGTTAACTGAAGTACTTTCAGAATAGAAATAAATTCGAATATGTACGATAAGCGTTTACTTTTTCTGCTATCTTTATAAGCCTAAGGCTACTAGTGCTTTTGGGTCTTTTATCATGCAGTGGAGGATACAAAATTTAAAAAAATCTCATTACATATTTTTCTTCATCTGATTCATCCCTCAGCTTGGGAAAGTATGTTCAGTAGATACTGTATTTTTTGTCCAATCACAGTCTTCAGATACATTGACACAAGTATGTAAATGCTACCGTGTCATCTAAATAATTGGTCTCTTTTAAAATAATGTGGTTATGACTATATTGACTTGAATAAGATATAAAATTAGACACACTTCAGGAAAAGGAAAAGAAAGTTTAATCGGATGATGAGAATCTGAATTGAATTAAATAACAGTATGGGTATTTCGAGAACAGATCAATGCATATATTGTTGAAGGAGCGCTGATAGTTACAATAACTGAACCATTTATTATGAGGCATTCATTTGCATATTCTGCAAAACGCGATATCTAATGTATGATGTTTATATCATATCACCAGTCAGTAATTACATAATTTTTATACGAAAAGGAAATAAACATAGATCTGTGCACTAATGCGTTTACTCGATGCTGACCGATATGAAATTATTAGGTATTCATTTGTTCAAAGTAATTTGTTAAACTATCATATCAGAAAATCTAGAACGGCAGTTTGAAACTAGATGTGTCGGAACAACTCGATTGGCCCCGCTCGCAAATATTCAAAGTCCAAAGCCCGCAATTTCGGCAAAATCAGCGGTACTGATCCAAGTGTAAACTCCATCATTCTGTAACTCATCATAGTGACCCACATATTAAAAAATCAGCTCAATATGTGAAGGCATTTAGAAAAAAAAGTCCGTATTCAAATGTAACTGTTATTTTCACGAAATTTTCAACGTCCAAAGCCTTCATTTCGGCAAAACTCAGCGGAGCGTAACCGAATGTAAACTTGATCTGTAATTCATCAAAGTAGACTCACATACTAAAAAACAGCTCAATATGTGAAGGCGTTTAGAAGAAAGTCCGTATAAATGTTGGTTTGAAGACATTTTCAAAGTTCAAAGCCCTTAATTTCGGCAAAAATCAACGGAGCGGAACTAAACGTAAACTTGGTCTGTAACTCATCATAGTAGACTCATACATGTAGGTGTGAAGAAAAGAAGTCCGTATAACTGTTTATTTTACAAAATTTTCAAAGTCCAAAGCCCGTAATTTTGTAAAAAAAAAAACAGCGGAAGGGAACCAAATGTAAACTCGATCTGTTACTCATTATAGTAGAATCGCATACTAAAAGTCAGCTCAATATGTGAAGTCGTTTAGAAAAAAGTCCGTATAATTGCTCGTTGCGGAATGACGGAATGGCAGAGTGGCGGGGCCATAAAAAGAACAACAACACAGCACGCAATTATTGAACGTCAAGATTGTATATGTAACCTTCGGAACATGGTAAAGCACCAATGTCAGTGTAGCTCACGCTGTGTAGTTTCGGTGACCACCTGCCAGAAATAATCCAATTCATTACAGAGAGTGAAAATATTTCAGAATTAGCGGTATCGTGTGTCAGTCTAATCAAGGAGATCCGAATAAAACCTTATTTCTTGGTAAAATAATATTTAAGTTTTAATTAATTGATGATATATTTCAATTTCACAATTATTTATACGTGACCGAGCCTTTCATGATAGGAAACACAAGCTATGGAATATCGTATCAACTAGGAGATATATACATATACATGCATGTACTCCATAAGCTCGGCTGGAATGTCGCTACATAGGAATAGGAAATTCACATTTGGGAAGCCGAAATCAATCCTCTTGTCGAATAGTTTTGTTATCTACCGACCTTTAATAGAGATTTGTTATCCAAATATGAAAGTGACTACAAGCTTAATGATTTTTTATGATATTATAGACCTCTCAGTCTAAGACCCCACAATTTTTAGGTGACATTCATACTGTTATATCTAATAACATGCAATGTCGTATTTTGCAAGAGAAATAATGGCAAACTTAAAATCCTAAGACTATGTATCCAATCTGAGACTTTGCGAGTTGCCTCTTGTATGAAAGGCAGCAAGCCTCTACTGTTTTAAGAAAAAAGGCGTTCTTAATCATCATTTATAGGAATCAGTATTCACTCGGCAAACTTCTTTTTTGCGCATTTTTGCGCCTGTCCCAAGTCAGGAACCTCTGGCCATTGTTAGTCTTGAATGGTTTTTTTTTTAATTTCGGAGTTTAGTGTGATGTCCATTTTCTATGAACTATTACATATTTTTGTTTAGGGACCAGTTGAAGCCCGCCTCCGGGTGCGGGATTTTCTTGCTTTGTTGCAGACCCATTGGTGGCCTTGGGCTGTTTTCTGCTTTTTGGTCGGGTTTTTGTCTCTCTATGACACATTCCCCGTTTCCATTCTCAATTTTATTCTAGTGAATCTCCTGTAGATGTAGGTATGAGATCGGCAAGTGATCCAGGATTCTGTTTTCTGATTGTAAAACAGTCGCATCATTTTCTGATTTAATAGAATTCTGAAAAAATAAAACGCAGGGTTTACTTTTTATTCTATTAAATATCTTCATATTGGTCGACTTGGTGCAAGCTGTCATATTGGCTCATGTCTTTTGATTGATACGTGTATTTTCTTATCGTAATTGACTCATATTGATTGATATAAATGTCTTTCGGGCTCGTATTATTTTCACTTGTTTCACTTATTAAAGATGAGTGGTTCTTACTATCGGTATCAGTATTTGACGATGAAACGTTGTCTACTGGCGGACTGTCTTGAACACCTCTGAGAACGTGTTCTTGAACTCTTTGGTTTTGTTGTCTGTTTTCAATTTGGTTTGTGCTTACTTCTCTCATCCCGTTTGCTTCTATTTCAACATAATTCTGACTTTCGTCGTGTTCCAATGGTGAAGCTATTCTATTTCTTAGCTTGAACATTTGCCTCCGATATACAAGAATTGATACCACAAGAATGATCACGAATAAAATGCTAGAAATGGAAACGGCGACTGGTATGACTGAGAAGATTGATAAAGAGCTTTTCACTTTTTCATCTAAAATGAAAGTAAATGATTTAAAAACATTTATGAACAAAATGATATGAACAATTTTTACAACGAGCTGCAAGCCTGGCAGTATTGAATTCAAATAAACTGGAATGAAAAAATCAATGCGGCTTGTACTGGTATATTCTTATTTACATTCACTTTATTCTTGATTTCTCTTGATCTCCGATTACTTTTTAAAATTTTAATTTGATTTTTGACAGTGGTCTTTCAATTTTCGACATTTACACACACGTCAAAAAAACAAGAGAAAAGAAAACGACAACTTGTACGTTAAACACAGTAAAAAATAATATAAATGTCTTCGGCTGTTATTTGGAAAGTTTGGTTTTCATGGTAGATATTTTTATTGTTTAATTTATTCCTGTCCAAATTCGGTGGTCATCGTTGGTTACTATCTATCATTTTTGTTTTTCGTTTATTTTTTGTACATAGATTAGGCCTTTGGTTTTCTCGCTTGAATTGTTTTTTTTTTATATTTTGTCATGTTGGGGTCATTTATAGTTTATAGTAGTTAACTATACGGTATAGGTTTTGATGGCAGACATTTGATTGTTTTGGTTAATTCATCCATGTCCAAATTAAGTAGCTTATAATTCAGTTGTTATCGTTGATTGCTGTCTATCATTTTTTTTATTTTTCGTTTATTGTTCTGTACATAAACCAGGCCGTTGGTATTGCTTGAATTGTTTTATATTTTGTCATGTTGGGTTCATTTATAGTTGACTATACGGTGTGGGTTTTGCTCATTGTTGAAGGTGATATAGTTGCTTACATAGATCTACGTCATTTGAACTTTGGTGGATAGTTTTGTCATTGGCAATCATATCTCATCTTCTAATATTTATAGCGGTAACATGGGCAATCATACCCCATCCCCTCATATGTATTGCTGTATGGAAATCATACCACATCTTATATTTATTGCTGTATCATTGGCAATCATACACCTACTCCTTGTATGTTTTTCTGTATCATTGGCAATCATACCACAACTCCTTATATCTATTGCCGGATTATTGATGTAGAGCCAAAATCACTTTTGTTATTATTAAACGATTCCGTTTATCGTGTTTTTTCCAAACGCAAAATAAATTAAAAATCAACAATAAAGATATGCACTTACTGTGTACTATAATGGATTTTTCTTCCGTACAGTTGCTTCGGCCTAGTCTGTTTTGAGCGAACATTCGGAAGTAATATGTAGTCTTTGTTTGAAGTCTTTCAATTGTCCAAGATAACGTATCACTAATTGTCCTGTTCAGTGACTCAACCACTGTCCATTTCTTGGAATTACTTTCTCGAAACTCGATGAAAAACGTTTGTATTAGACCACCATTGAAGTTACATATCCACTGTACTAGAACATTATCCTCCTTTGTTGACAATGTAAAATTCATTGGGATACTCGGAAAACCTAGTTGTACAAAAGATAAAACTTTGAAGGACTCTGTTTTAACAATTTATGAAAAAAGTACCATTCAAATTATATTACACTTAATAAATTTCGTGCTCTCGAAGCGCTTTTCTTGATTTATTTTCATTAGGAGTACTTAAAACTTATCATTTGAAAGCCAGGCATTTATAAATACGTAGAAACGTTAGGAGATACCTGCATTAAACCAAAAAAAGGACCAAACAAGAATAAGCAAACACATCTTAGGTCAACTTTTGCCCGAGAAAGATGGAACCGTAGTTTCTTAATAATTTATCATCAATCAACGAGTATTTTACAAGTATAACTACATAAACACGTGAAGACGTGAAGAGCTATGTGGCCAAAAGGGACCTAAACGAATAACCATGTGGCCAAAAGGGACCTAAACGAATAACCAAATACTTATAAGGTCAATTTTTCCTGAGTGAGTTTGAACCTTAGTTTCTTAATAATTTTTAAATTATCAACGTAGAATTTTAGAAAAAAAAGTATGTCATAAATCCTGTCAGTACTGAAGCCCTGATTACTGAGCCGATGATACCTTCATAAAATTTTACGGTTTTTGAAATGTTAACTATGACTTTTCGTTTGTGGAGCAAGAACTGCAGACCCTTCCGGAGCAGATGTGTTTTAATCTGGTTTCGGTTTAGTTATGCTTGTGAACCATTCATTTGTTTAATATTTTGTGTTTTTTTGCTTGACAGTTCTTCTATTTTCCTTTTACCACGGTGGTTTTTTGTCTTTATTTGACTTGTGTTTTTTTTAAATCCCGCATAGTCTGTAATTCCCGAGAGAATTTGATTCGAAAAAGCAACCGTTGTACATGTCGACTTGCAGTTTATTGTTAGATTTAACATGTTCTTTTTCGGTTTTCAAAAACGTTGAAGATAAAAATTAAGTTGTTAAATAGCTTAAATGTAAACTAACTTACTTGCATATATAAGGGAGATCTCGTGATGATTTTGTCCGAATTCGTTTCGTAAATTCAATGTATAATTTTGAATCATCTCAGGTCTCAATTTTGCAATTTTCATCGTCATTCTGTAACCTTTTACCCTCACGTTTGAATTATAGAAAGTATCATTTACAAAAGTATGTTCTTCAATAATGTTTATATTGGATTCGTCGCTTGTAAGTTGTTCGCCATTTTGATTATGCATGAATAAATCTGAATACTTTGGGTTACTAAAAATATTGATTATTATGTCTACTGATTCATGTATTATTCCATAAAAGAACCAACTGTTGTCCCCAACAAACATGGGTTTACCTGAAAAATCAATTGTTTACCAGTTAAAAATATCAAAACAAGATTATTATTTTATTTACTTTATTTGGAGGAGGGTTAGACTTTGGATAAGGGGGATAACTCTAAAAGCCAGCTTTGTCTATAAACACATTCTAGTGTTATTTTTTTAATAATACCACTTTTCACAAGTATATCATTAGCTTCTAAAATCGTCTTTCTCGTTCAAAGTTAAGGGTTTTGTCCTTCACATCTATCTAGATGACAAAGTTTCTGCAACTTCATGTAAGGCAGTCTAAAATATTTAAATAAGTCTTTTTTTCACCAAAAAAATGAAAGAGTGCAAAAAAGTTACATAAGAGGAGTTAAATTCAATAATTGAAGGGGTAGAATTTTAATCGTTTAGAATATTGAATATTACCGTTTTTTTTAGTTTGAAATCTTAAAGTAAATACCTGATATACTTAAATACACAACAGCTGTCCTGTTGCTGGTCCCACTAATACCTGGTATCCCATTACTAACAGTACAGACGTAAATTCCATTATCATAGTACTGTGTGTTGAAGTTTTCATTTTTCGGAAGTTGAAGAATACCGTCTTCAGATCCTGACAGGAACCGTATATGGTCTCCATATTCAGATTTATGTTGCCACTGAAAAAATGTGTAATTTGGTGGAACACCTTTCGGCGAGCATATAAGCTTCCTTGATTTTGCGTTTACAGTGTAATTTTCATACATAATGGTTACATCTGGTGCATCTACAAATATAAGTAAAAAAACAAGACATAAAAGTAAGTATAGGCAATTAGTTTGTAATCAAAACCAACAATTTAATTATATAAAATTGAGAATGGAAATGGGAATGTGTCAAAGAGACAACAACCCGACCATATAGCAGACAACAGTCGAAGGCCACCAATGGGTCTTCAATGTAGCGAGAAACTCCCGCACCCTGAGGCGTCCTTCAGCTGGCCCCTAAACAAATATGTATACTAGTTCAGTGATAATGGACGTCATACTAAACTCCAAATTATACACAAGAAACTAAAATTAAAAATGATACAAGACTAACAAAGGCCAGAGGCTCCTGACTTGGGACAGGCGCAAAAATGCGGCGGGGTTAAACATGGCATTCCATATTATATACCGAGGCATACACAGAATAGGGTAAACATTAACTATAATAGCATGTTATTTCAAATGACATATTATGTTCTTTGAAAATAAAACCCAAAAACATTTTACACAACTTACGCATAAAAATTACACTGGTCTCTTTCAAGCCCAAGCCTTTTTTTCAATTCAATATTTTTTTAAGTCTCATCTCTCACTAACGTATAATACACCATTACATTAAATGCAAAAGTAGATATAAAATACAGTGTCATTCTGCACAAAATTATAAGAGACTATTACAGTTAAACATTACAGAAAATTCTTCTATTATAAAAAGAAATCGTCTGATATTAGTTGCTTTACAAATGTGTACATTGCAAAGGGTTAAATTTTACTATACTAGCTTGCTATTTCTAGCGATATATTATGTTCTTTGGAAAACAAAACCCATTTTAAACAACTTACACATAACAATAACACTGGTCTCTGCCACAGTTGAGCCTATCATATTAGTAGCTTTACAGATGTATACACCAGTGTCTCTTCGTGTAATAACAGTTATTTGCAATATTCGACTGTTTGTGTAGTTTTTGATTTCGCCATTATTTTGTGTTAGCCATGACACGCTTTGTACGACAGGATTGCTATCTATGTTGCAATAGACGATGAGAGAATTCCCTTCGATTATGCGAACAAAGTTATCTACACTAAGTGTTACTTTTGGCTTATCTACAAAATATTAATTATGAAAACATCTAACTTAACTATATCCAAAATGTTCATCAATTGTAAAACGTTTAATTGAAGATTAACTCTTTGAAACTAGAACCTAAATTTGGTATGACATATGTAAAGTAAAATAAACTCGAGTTAATATGGGTTTTTCTCATTGTCGAAGGCCGTACGGTTGCCTAAAATTGCTTAGATCAAGTTCATTTTAACTGTGGTGGATAGTTGTATCATTGACAATCATACGACATCTCAATAGTAAACTTTTAATTGGTATTACAAAAGTCAGACAAGAAACAGTCAGTAATGACCTTGGAAAAGCTTTGAAAAAAATCTGTATTATTGTACAATTCACCAGGAAATTTATATTCAATTGTTTGTATAAAACAAAATTGTTTATTTCCTCTTCAGTTTGATTTAAAACATGGACACAATGCCAAACTGACCTCTAAGAGAAGTTTGCACCAGACACGGCGGATGAAGTAATCGATAGTTGTTTTTGTAATTTCCCATTAAGTATTAAAAAACGAAAGGCTGTAAAAGCTTTTTATTTCTTACATGTAAATTATTAGAAAAAAAAATCGTGATTATACACCATTTTGTAAAATAATTTCGATTAATTATACTTACAATGTACCAAAATTTCAATTGATTTAGTCATCGGAGTGTGTAAGACGGAACTGTTTGCACGGCAGTAGTACAGCCCACAGTTTTTATGTGTGGATTTTAACATTACTCGTGTAGAACCCGGCCCACCACTCTGTATCACGTTGCCTCTGTAGACCCATTCCAGGGTTTCCTCTGGTATGCCACTAGATATGTTACAATATAATTGTAATGTTTCATTTTCTCTAGCAGTAACTGTTGTAGATTCTTCCAAGTAGGTGTTGCTTCTGTTTCTATCTGTATTTACTACATATATATTTAGGTTTGTTGGAGCTTCTGAAATTATGAGTAGAATATGTATAAGGGTTGAGATCTCACAAACATGTTTAACCCCGCCGCATTTTCGCGCCTGTCCCAAGTCAGGAGCCTCTAGCCTTTGTTAGTCTTGTATTATTTTTAATTTTAGTTTCTTGTGTACAATTTGGAGTTTAGTATGGCGTTCATTATCACTGAACTAGTATATATATTTGTTTAGGGGCCAGCTGAAGGACGCCTCCGGGTGCGGGAATTTCTCGCTGCATTGAAGACCTGTTGGTGACCTTCTGCTGTTGTCTGTTCTGTGGTCGGGTTGTTGTCTCTTTGACACATTCCCCATTTCCATTCTCAATTTTATTTTATTGTCATTTTTATATCAGAATATAATTCATTTAATCTAACTCAACAAACCTTTTACATTGTCTATTACATTCTTATTATAGACTCATGAATATGTTGAACAGGGACCTCCGTTTGAGGTGTTAGGGATGTATCAACACGCAGCCACGTCTGGTCGGTTTAGGGACATTAAATCCGCTGTCTCATGAAGGGAAAGGTCGGCGCTATCTGCTTTTAAACGAATCTTACGATGACATGTTACAGGGCAACCAATTTTGTCACCATCCAACATATCCTTATTTTCATGTGGAATTACAAATTTCCTGCCTTGTTTCCGGCTGTAATCCTTTGTAAAGCATACCATTAGATATATTGTTAAGTTATTCTTGCCTGCTAATGCATGAAATATTTGCCACTAAACGTTAAGCAAACCGAATTCAACGCAAAACGGTATAAAGCCTTCTTAAGGTGACGAACAAATTAAAAAAAATCCGTTTCATAGACCTTTAGATATCAGATGCAAATGAAAGACAATTATACCATGGATATTTACGTTACTCATTAAAAAAGTCATGTGTATTGTACACAAACAATCTTATTCGTGTATAGGTTCAACCACTCGGCTGTATATACATAGAAGGCATTTTCAAAAAAATGTATATAGCATTGATTATGAATTCGAAGTATCAACTTTTTTTCCTTTTGTTTCTTTAGTGGAAACTGAAAAACTGTGATATCTGTAATTACCCGAATACATAATTTTTTATTGTATCTGCTTTTTTCTATTATAAGTCATGTATGATAAAGAGGGGACAAGTTCAATATCCATAAGTGTTTTTTTTAGATACATAGCAATGGCAAACAGTGCATTATTACATGTTTGAAAGTTATTGACATATATGTAACTGTCTAAGTGGTCTCGTGCACACTGTAGTCGTTGGCGGCTCTGTGTTCGACCCCGTCCTGTAAAACAGAGGACTTTAGAACTCATATTTATATTTTTCTGCTTTTCCCTCAATAATCTATATTTAAGGGTAAGAGCATAGACTGATATATTCGGACTCATGATCATGTGCCGGGGTATGGCGACATGTCTTTCTTTTGGATTTTACCAAGCGGGCTATATTTTTTTAATTGGTTCAGCGTATGAATCTAGTATGATCATATCATATGAACATTTAATCTTCCTCAATATGCATGCAATATTTGCCACTTGCCTCGTTATAAAAAATATAAAAAAAAATGAAAATATAAAACTAAAAAAAAAGGTATTATTATAAATTGTCAGAATGATTCCAAAACATTATAGTTACTAAAACCAATCTTGATGTCAACAGCACAAAAATCATGTGTACATACTTTTCAAAACCAGATTAAATATGATTTGTACAGATGTATCTTCAATCACCACCGTGCAAACATATTGACCCAAATCTGATTCCTTAACATCACTTATCTGTAGGTTGAAGTCTCCAATGGTATGATTTCCGGATATTGTAAAACGGTCTTTGTCTATACCGGCACCGAGTTTGGCTCCTTCGGATATTTGTAACATTTCTTTCCGTCGAAACCATGCTATTCTCGATGATGTCAAATGATGCGGACAAACCATTTCTACCGACGATCCAAGACTAGTGTATACTGTATGATTGGAGGAAACTTCAAGAACAAGAAAATAAAAGTTATGAATTAAGTTGTAATTAAAATCGAATTCCACTTCTGTAATACTGATAATTAGGATGATTATTGATCATCAGTTACATGTTTAATTTGTCAACTGATTTTATATGTTACATGGCCGATGTATACATTGTAGTGAAGCAATAACTGCTTTTCATTCCAGAACATCTACCGTATGTTGCTTAAACTTCAGATTTCTGTGTATATAGTGTGACAAACATGTGTAGGCACCAGCAAACATGTTTAACCCCGCCACATTCTGTATGTGCCTGTCCCAAGTCAGGAACCTGTAATTCTGTGGTTGTCGTTTGTTGCTGTATATCATATTTTTTTTTCGTTTATTGTTTTGTACTTAAATCAGGCTGTTAGTTTTCTCGTTTGAATTGTTTAAATATGTAATTTCGGGGCCTTTTAATGCTTACTATACAGTATAGATTTTATTCATTGTGGAAGGCCGTGTGTAGTTGTTAACTTCTGTGTCATTTGGTATCTGGTGGAGAGTTGTCTCATTTGCAAAACGTCCAGATTTTTTAACATGTATTCGAATTCATTAAAAGGTCTTAGAGATTTCTTATCATTAAGGAATGACTGTAATATTTTTTCTGTCTATGAAGAAATAACATCAAAAATGTGGTGCACACTCAATAACCCGCGTAGCGGGTTATTTTAAAGTGTGCACCACATTTTTTATGCTATTTCGAATAGACAGAAAAAATATTACAGTCATTTCTTATAATTTAATTCAAAATTCCATTTTAAACCGGAGTAAACCATGAAAAAACGTTGTTGACGTCACGGTCACATGACAAAATTATGTCTATGAGCTGATAAACAAAACAACGTCAGCCAATCAAAAGACGCGTTACATCCAAAATTAAATTATTATGATATGGATACTGAATAGAGTATTTGTGTTACATTGATATCACATCATCATCATCATTACCAATTTTTCCGTTATTATTGTTTCATCTGTTTTCAATAGCTAGACTCGTAAATTATTGTATATTTTTGAAATATTGCATGCTCTTATTGATATTGTATTGTTATATATTGTAATTCGGAGCGGACTTCATAAGTATGGTTTACTTGTGTCAAATCAATTTTACTTTGAGTAAATAAAATATGTTTAAACTAAATCTCATTGGCAATCATACCACATCTTCTTTATTTTCATATGTCGAGACTATTATTTGTCGTTTAGGCTTTTTATTTTTGTCGTGAGTTGTGTGTTCTTTTTTATCCAGTCTTTTATGGTCCCTTTATTACACTATTTCCTGTTTTGTTATACAAATTCAAAATTACTAATCATTAGAAAATTTACCCATTAATGTGTTTACAAAAGACTACGATACAATGAAAGTTCACAATCTGCAATTTGGGATTTTAAAAACAAACATATGGATAGATTTGACTATTATATAAATAGTCCTTTTTATCATACTAACTCTTCACGTGTGTCGGTACTTATACATCCTCGCCTTTCAAATTTTGACTTGAAACGTTCCTGATGAAGGTAAAGCCAGAACAAAAGTTATGGATGCATATAATGTATAAAGTGTTAACAGTATTATTAAAAGTGAGCTTTTCTCATCACTTGGCGTCCGTCGTCCGGCGTCTGGCGTCCGTGGTCCAGCGTCCGGCGTCCGTCGCCGTCTGTTAACTTTTACAAAAATCTTCTCCTCCGAAACTACTGCCCCGAATTTAACAAAACTTGGCCACAATCATGAAAGGGTATATAGTTTAAAAAATGTGTCTGATGACACCGCCTGCCCACCAAGATGGCCGACATGTCTAAAAATAGAACTTAGGGGTAAAATGCAAGTTTTGTCTATTATTTTGAAAACCGTTATAAATAGAGAAAATCTGACAGAGCAAAAATGTTCAGAACGTTGAGCTCTACCAATTGTCCATTTAAGTCAGGGGACTTCTTATAGGAATTATTGCCCTTAAATGACAAATTTTACCATTTTTATTTTCATTTTTGCCTACTATCTTGAAAACTATAATAGATAAAGAGAAACTTTAAATTGCAAAAATGATCAGCAAGACAAGTTCTACAAATAAGTCTTCATGGTCGAAATTGTCAGTTGACTTCTTATTTGAGATATTGCCCTTTGATGAAGATTTTTACCAATCATTTGCGATTTCGCCTTTTATCTAAATATTATAATAGATAGATAGATAGAAACTTAAATAAGCAAAAATGATCGGCAAGACAAGATCTACAATTTAGATTATTTGAAGGAAATCGTCCGCCGACTCCTTATTGGAGTTATTGCCCTTTAATAACATTTTCACCATTTATGTTTGCGTTTTGCCTTATATGATAAAAATTATAATAGATAAATAGACACTTTTACACAAAAATGATCAGCAAGTCAAGATCTACTAACAAGTGAAATTTTGCTGATAAAGTTAGTAGACTGTCACTCTTTGTAGGAGTGATTGCCCTTAAATGAGGATGTTCTTTACCTTCTTTACGTTGTGAGCAAACACTAAAGAAGATAGATAGAAACTAAACAGAATAAAATGATCAGCAATACAAGATCAACAAAACAGAGATTTTTGTCATGAATTCTATGAGATTTTTGTCATGAATTCTATTCTCATCTACAATGTTGGAGATTGTCCTTTGTTAAATATGCGTATAGACCAATGTGAGCGACACATGCTTTTTAGAGCCTCTAGCTAATTGAAATTAATACGTTACCAAATGCTTCTGATAGTGTATATATGAATAGGCATATAATCACTCTAATCGTCATCTTCTGAAGTGGAAAACAAGTTATTATTTGTATTGACATCTTATTACTTAACTGTTAACCCCTCGATATGTTTTGTTTTTGTACATGATCTGTAAAAATAAGGAGATGTGGTATGATTGCCAATGAGACAACAATTCACCGAAGTTCAAATGAATTGGATGTTATAAGTAAAGCAATTATTGGCAACCGTACGGCCCTCAACAATGAGAAAAGCCACACCGTATAGTCGGCTATAAAAAGCCCCGACATGACAAATATTAAACAATTCAATTGAGAACTCTAACGGCCTAATTTACAACAAAACAATGTACGAAAAACAAAAATGACAGACATGAACCAACGACAACCACTGAACTACTTGGGACATGGATATACAGAATGTGGCGGCGTTAGACATGTTGTGAGCGCTCCTAACCTGGGAAAGAGGTGTTACAGCACAACATACGATCAAAACTATAAAAATAAGTTGAAAAGAACTTAAACTCATCAGATCGATACAAAGCAGAAAACATCTAACAAAAACACAGACCGGACTTGGCAGGGTACTTATATATCCCTTACAACAAAAATGCATGTTTTCATTTTGTGAGTTACTGTCTCATTGACACATACCCCACACTATGCACATCTCCATCCTTTAAAGTGAAGACGTTGTGCAAGTTATTCTTATTTGTGTAAGAAAATGCATAATTATTTCTTTTTAAATAAACAAGCATTAAGAATAAAGAGCTTTCTTTATTTTCTATAATATTTAATAGTAAACAGAGGTAGGAATGTTATGCGCTATTATCTAGAGAAAAAAATGATTAAAAAATCATAGTGTAAACATGGTAACAAAATATGGGTATTTGATACGACTTTTAGAAGTTGGAATCTTTGACTGGAATTTCTTTTCATACATCCATATATTATAAATTGATCTACTTACGTATTGCGGACATCTAACTTTTGCATGTTTGAAATCCATGACAAACAATATATATTAAAATGTAGTTTTATTTCCGATGTATAACTAGCACTTAACAGTATCCATAGAAACGAAAAAGTGTCATAATTGTCTCTGTTAAATTAATTCATATTTTTTAGCTCACCTGGTCTAAAGGGCCAAAGGAGCTTTTCTCATCACTTGACGTTCGTCGACCATCGTCGTCTTGTTCCATTACATCTTCTACTATGAAACTACTTGGCAAAATTTTAACCAAACTTGGCCACAATCATAATTGGGGTATCCAGTGCAAAAAAAGAGTGTCTGGTGACCCGACCTACAAAATAGCATGGCTAAAAATAGCCATTGAGGGGAAATGCAAGTGTTGTCTCTTAACTTGAAAACCGCAATAAAAATAGAAAATCTGAAAAGTTGCAGACATGTTGAAAACATTGAGATCTACCTACTGTCTATTTACATCAAAAGTGTCTGATGACTTCTTTTTGGAGCTGTTTAAGAGAGAGAGAGAGAGAGAGAGAGAGAGAGAGAGAGAGAGAGAGAGAGAAAGAGAGAGAGAGAGAGTTTTATAAACAATTATATAATTATATAGTTATATCAGTTAAATTAAATTGTTTTCAGCGCTACCCATTGCAGCTGATACCTGCAATTCTGAAACAATATTAAAACATTTACAAGTTATGTAAAAACTGCACCTACATGTAAGGACATACTTAACCAAAATAATCTAATATGACTTGTATCTGAAAGATAGCAATCTTTCCGAGAATTCGCTATTTTTTTTCTTCAAGAAATGGAAATTTTTTATGACATGTATCTAATATTAAATGAGTGAAACTCAAAGATAGTAAAACATTGTTTTTATATTACTGCGAGGAAATATGTATTATAAATTACATTTCAATTCATAATAGCTGTGATGTCGATATCAAATAGGTAAGTTTAAAGTCAATATAAGAAGATTTAGATATAGCGTTCTATTTTCGTTTTACATTGCACTTATGCACTGTATTTTCTTTGTTTAAATAATGTGTATCACCGGATTATCGAAGGTTTCCTTAAATCTCTCCATAGACATTTTAGTGGGAAGACACGCTTTAGAGATGTGGGATATAGTTGTCAGTATAGAGCTTCAGGGAATTTGAAACATTACAGAAAACATACCAAGATTGATTCACACATCATATTTTATTTTGTTTTGTAAGAAATCTGGTGGTAGATCTTTGAATAGCCACTGTTAGACTAATATACAACTTTTCAAGTGTTGTTGAAAAGACATGCGAAAATGAATATTAGGTCCCGGACACATTAACCTGCTTAGTCACTCCCACAAGTGCGTAAATAAGCAATTCAATTTATAATACAAACTATCTAATCATATTGTTTTTTCCCTTAGCTTGATGATGTGTTTGTCTTTATATTTTTGTATGTTGTTTGTATGTTTACAAATCTATTCTGGTCAGTGAGACCTTTATTAGAGATTAGTTTATAAAATGGCATGCTTGCTTACAAAGTTCATTTAGTCTGACTTTAATTGAATTAGAATGATAATATTTTTTGAAGTGGTTAACCGTTGTCATAGATATGCCTCGTCAAATCATTTAATACGGCGATTATTTGAACAATTCAAGCGAACTCATACGGATATATGTTCTATCTATATAGATTAAACATTTCGTAAATTCTATTTAAATTTCAAAAGCCATTTATAAAATTAAATTACCAAGAAAATATTCAGTAAATTTCCATTTAAATTAATAGAATTTAATACTTGACCTAATTCGTACCTTATAAAGGTAGGAATTATGTGTATTCGCACAGATTGATTAATAACTGGTAATAATACACAAAAAGGATAACAGAAATTATAAAAACAATATTGGACAGAACAACAGTCAACACCAATCTCCAACACCCGACTCCTTCAATAAAAAGACATCCATCTGATGAGTTAAGCCTTTTCAACTAATTTGTATAGTTTGTTCTTATGTTGTACTGTTACACCACTGTCCCAGGTTAGGGGGAGGATTGGCGCCTTCAAACTGGTTTAACCCCGTCACATTCTGTATGTGCCTGTCCCAAGTCAGGAGCCTGTAATTCAGTGGTTTTCGTTTGTTGCTGTGTAACATATTTTTTGTTGTTCATTATTTTGTAAATAAATTAGGCCGTTAGTTTTCTCGTTTGAATTGTTTTACATTTCGGAGCCTTGTGTAGCTGACTATGCGGTATGGGCTTTGCTCATTGTTGAAGGCCGTACGGTGACCTATATATAGTTGTTATCTTCTATGTCATTTGGTCTCTGATGGACAGTTGTCTCATTGGCAATCTTTAAATTATCTATGTTATTTGTGTCATAGGGTTGCTAATCTCATACGTATACCCGGCATTTCCTTTTATTCACAATGGACAGGTCTTTATTTTTAAACAACCTTCATAAATATTATCTGTAATTAATACAATATATATCTATGTATATGCTTTGAGACGGGCCCTTAAATTGGATTTAATAAAGTTATCGTATTATTAAATCATAATGATATGCAGCGCTACATATTGCTGTTGAATGCAATTTTGAAACAATATCATAAAATTTAAAAGTTTTGCCAAAAGATAAAACTTCTGTCAATGTTTGAACAACCTTTAACAAAAATAGATTTATTCTAAGATGTGTATTTAAAAGAAAACAATCTTTCCGAGAATTAGCTGTAAATAGGTATTAAATTTTACTACGAATCAAGAAAATGGCATGTTATCTAATTTTAAATTACTATGTGCATGAACTGCATGTTTTTTTTACATTATTTTTAGAGATGACATTTGAAACTATAATTGCTGTAATGTCGATGGTCATCAAAGATATATCATAAAGGTAAGTTTTACATTCAACGTTTAAATGTGCACTCAGCGTTATCTTGTCATCTATTTCCTTTTACAACTACTTTATTTGTGGTTCTAATGATTTACTGTTTGAATAACGAGTAACCCATTGGTTCGGATTTACGAAACTGTCCTATGATAAATATCTTAGGAAAATGATTTAGGATAATCTAAGAACTATCTTACGACAAGTGAGAATGCGCTATTACTAGTATTTAAAGTAGGACGATGCTAAGGTGTTTTACCGATATTGTAAAAAATCGAAAAAGAAAAAAAAATTGTAGGAAATATAAAATGCATTTCAACACTCAAAGTCGAATACTAGAAAGTGACCTCAAAGTGTCTCAATATAGCATATAACAGAATTCAAAATCAAATGTTCTTCATCTGTCATATATACATGTAAGACATGTAAATATATGTAGTAAAATATGTATCGATCTTGCATGTATAAACTATTGCTTTTGTTAGTCTTTTGCAATATCTTGGTTTGCAGTACAGAACTTGATGTGTGATGGCATATTGATGGAATACCCAATATTTCAAATTATATATATTTCGTCTGAAATAAAACCCACAATGTATGATATCTATGTAATTGTTTGCATATTTGTATGTGTTGTTTGGCAATCAGTTCTGGGCAGTAAGCCCTTTATCAGAGGTTTCGCAATAACCTGCCATGTTCAATTGGTCTATTTTCCTGCCGAAGGTTGGTAGTGCTCTCCGGCACTACGGCTTCCTGCGACCATAAAAACTAGCCGCCACGATAAAGCCAATAGAGCTGAAAGTGGTATTAAACACAAACAATCAATCAATTAATTAACTGGTATAAATTTCATGGAAAAAGAAAATATTAGAACTTGTCAACTAAAACTTGTTTAACAATTCAAAGACATCTTGACAAATCATTATATACACCTGCTATTGGAACAATACCATCGAAATCATACGGATCATTTAATCTATATAGACTAAACCTTTCGTTAATTCTATTTATAATTCGTATTACATTGTAAAAATAAATTTCCAAGAAAATTTCCAGTAAATTTCCATTTGAATTTAAACCATTACCTATTTTGTACCTTTTGAAATTACCCAATATTGAACATAACAACCGACACTCTAACTGCCAACACCGGACTTCTCCAAACTTATGGACCGATAGCAGGACTTGGTTCAGGTACAAAATATTGTTAGGTTAAACCAGATATACGTGCGCTAACCCCCCTTTTTTCCCATCTAGATCGTTGGTCGTAGAAGTAAAACACACAATAAAAAACTTGCAAACTGCGGTAACCAAAAGGATGCCCAATAAATCAGAAATGGAAATCAAAGACGGCTTATAATTTTGAAAACCTTACAACAATTCTTTAAGGGGCCTGTATGTGGCGTTTTGCAAGGCTTATTTTCTGTCCCTACCTAATATACCCTCATTACTCAGTTCGTTCAAAATTTCTCAACCATCAGTCATGTAGACCGCGTAGTATAGCACCTACCTGTTAATGTGTTCTCTTCAAGAACATGTAACTGTGTAAATTTGCTACTAAACGTAAAGCAAGTAAAATCAATCAATCAATTCGTAAACTACCTTGTAACAACGTTAACAAAATGTAAAAAAAAATTGAACGCATTCGTTAAAATTACTGCAATTTCGGACAGTATTAATGCACTGTATGATAATTTTAATTTTCCAATCGCTTTGTAGCAACTTTCCAGCACCGCCTGCATAACGGAGTATTTATATATCTCACAGCTGATACACTATTTAAGGGCTTGTGTTTCGTGTCATGATTTTCTTGATATACATTTGTATGACTATACTGCTTACAAGAAAGCTGTTGCATCAATGGATTTACGTGGTAAGTTGATGTCATCTCTTCGAAAGTTTTATTGAAGGCATTTTGGTTTGGTTGGCCGTTATGAAATATCTGTGTGGCAAGACCCACTGAAAGCGACTTATTATCGTATTTTTACTTGCTTGAGAAACATGACGGGTGCCACATGTCGAGCAGGAACTGCTAATAACCTTCCAGAGCACAGCCTTAGTTTTTTATGTATTTTTTGTTATTGTTGTTTGTCCTTTGGTCGATTTCATTTTTGACCATGGTGCTGTTTGTTTTTGGACTTACGATTTTATAATGCCCCGTGGTATCTTTTTTTTCTCTTATGTTTTTAAATAATCTTCTTGAACAAATTTAGATCGTCGAATCAACTACACTTCAAAAGATATATAGCTACTAATGACTTTTATTACTTTTGTAAATATTTAGAGCAAGTTCATGTAAATCGGGAAAAGGAGCTACCCCCTCCTGTCATATGTTTACAAGAGTCTGCTTTGAACTTGGAAAAAAAAGTATGTCTTTTTCTGATTTAATTGTTTTGTATCTTCCTTTTTGTTAGACATATACCAAGCATCTCTTTTGTTCATATTGGTCCGTTTAGATATTATCATTTATAAGTTAGAAGAATTAATTGAATTGCGTACAAGAAAATTCAAGGTAAAAATCTATTGATAGATATCAATCAATATATTTCTAAGAATTGTTTGGCTTTAAAGGTTTGATTTTAATAATGCTTATCTTGGTCTGATGACCTGTTTCTCAATATAATTTTTCAGGAATTTTCAAGAATTTGCAGGTGACATACATGTATTGAAACTTTTAAAATGGTTATGAGAAGACGTATTATATTTTAATGATGAAATTTCACTTCGTTATTGCTGTGATGTTGATCGTCATGAAGGATATCAGAATAGGTAAATTTTAACTTCATAACTCTAATGTATGGTTAGAATAAAGCGTACATTTTACATATAAAACTTCAGAAATAACAACCTTAAAATCTTTAATAGTAATATTGTTCACTTCTGTGTCGGATTGTTGTCGCATAATTCCCATGTCCTATGAGATTCGTTTTCTAAGAAGTGTTTTATGAACTTTAGATTTTTGTTTTTGCCATGGCGTTGTCGACTTCGTTTCGAATGACCCCTTGGTAAATTCCGCCTCTTTTTCAGTGTGTTTATTAAGTAATTTGATTGCAAATGTATGATAGATTTTATTAAACTTATTCACACCATTATTTAAAATTTGATACTTGTTAGACCTTAACATTTGTATAGACGATCAAATATATTCCTTTTTTGTGTCATTGAGCTATTGCTTTTTATAGGCATTAATATAACCTTACGTCATCTTATTTTATTTGAAATTTAAAATTATTGTTTTTAACAATACATTATCAAACGGGTTCCAAGAAAAACTCTGCCGGAAATATCTACATGTATCTAAATTAGGACAATGATTACCTAATTCATAACTGATAACGCTAGCCATATACCCAATTATAATTTGGCACCGTTTCAAACTTACGCGAAGTAAAAGTTATTATAATCACTATTGAAGTATAACGTTTGGCAAGCAAATAATATTAATGTCCTTGTTTCTATTAACTTTGTACCGTAGAGACTATATATAAAATTACAAGGAAGTACATGTATTGATAAATCTACGGACTACCCAAGAAGGTTTATTTTGTTTAATAATCATGTGTTAATGCTATTCTAATGAACATATTTGATCTTAAAAATCCTGTGCATATACAATTGAACGACCATTTAACTCTAATTATATATTATTGGGCTATGGTTTTTCTCTTCCTCAAAATTAAATAGTCGTTCCATAATGTGAACCGGAAGCTTAAAACAAGTACAATGTGTACGTATCTTGAGATGAATTTTATTTAGCAAATTATCCGTTGGTTTTGAAATTCATACGAGAAAACGGTCAAAATTTGTAAGTTTAAGATTACTTCAATATCCAGTCGGTCCGGTAGTACGTTACGAACATGAAAACCCTGAACATAATGGCAAATTGAATGCTCACACATAAAATCTTTGTTTTAATTTTAAAAGTGAATCACGTGAAAATTGTTCTATTTGGATTATCTTAGAACTGCTGATGAAAAACATCAATATAAAATGAATCCGTGATCTCGGATTCCCAATCCGTAATCTCGGATTAATAATCCGTTATCTTCGTTTCCCAATCCTTGATATCTGATTATTAATTCGAGATAGTTTTTTCCAATCCGTGATCTCGGATTACAAGACCATTATCTAGGATTCAAAATCCGCGATCTCGGATGACTTATTCGGGATCGCTGATTAGAAAAATGATAGACCGTGATCTCGGTTTCCCAATCCGTGATCTCGGATGAATAATCCGTGATCTCGGATTAATATTCTGTGATCTCGGGTTAATTATCCGTTCTCGTGGATTCCCAATCCATGATCTCGGATAACTAAGATTAGTAATCCGTTTAAACAAAAACACTTATTAATGATTAATGATGAATGATTTATATCTCAAAAACAAGAACACGAACTTTTCATTTGTTTCTGCCTTTCTAGTTCCGTTATTTATGTACTATCAATTAATTTGATACAGCCTTTTAAAAAGCCTGTAATTTTGAAACGGAGCAGCGAACATCCTTTACAATCTTTTATTATAATTTGACAAATAAAGCTTTAGCTGTCCGCATAGCCGGATTTATACCCTCCGAACATGCATTCTAGTTGCTGCTGTGAAATTCAGTATTGGGAAAATGATATTTTGAGATTTTTGGCTCTCAGCCATGTCAACGTTAAAAGTAAAATAACTTATTTAAGGTTCAAGCCACAATGCCGTAATCTTACTTACAAATCACCTTCCTTTTATGCAACTGCAAATATTATTTGACATAGTTTGGTTAACCTGAATCCTCCAGAGAACAGTTATGCCCGAACACAAGTAACTAGCATAGGGGTCAAGCTTCAAGGTCAAGGTCATAGTTACCTGATTTTTGTATTTGGCACATCTCGATCCCATGATTCCTGTTGCGGTACAAAAGTTATGCACCGAACACAGATGAGACAATGTTTTACTATCACATGGGTCAAATGTCAAAGTCAAAATCAGAGTGACTTGACTTTAATATATGACAAATTCATGCTGCATCCCCATACAGTGTAACACGTTTGGTAAATCTAAGTTCTACGATATCAAAGTTATGCACAGGACAGAAATCAGACTAGATTTTACTTTTATTGGGATGAAAGTCAAGGTCAGAGAGACATTAATGTATACGGTATATGTTTTTTCTCATTGTTGAAGGCCGTATGGTGACCTATAGCTTATATCGATGACATGTGTTTCTTTTGGATGATTGTTTCATTTGCAATCATATCACATCTCCGATATTGATATTTTTTTTAATGTTTGATATTGTTGGTGTCAGAACTTGTCTATTAATAAAAATCTATAGAAACGTCTACATTCTGTCAGTTGTTACAAATTGTAAGCATATTCTGGATTCCTCGTTACACTTTTAATTACACATTTATTTTTATTTTAGATTCATTAACAGTTTCTGTAAAATCTGATAACCTTATAATCTATGGGACGTCAGTAGAACTCCAGTGTCTGTCTGATAATACATCGTCTCAGTCGTCATGGTACTGGTTTTCTGAAAATAATTTACTTTTCATAGATGGTCATGGTGAACAGAATATTAATAAATCAAAGTTTATAGAACAACAAATTAATGACGTCACAAGACAGTTGACTATTTTACATTTTGCCGAGACAGATTTTAAGATGTATAAATGCAAACACGATTTGAAATCAGCTTCTATCGACTTAACATTACAGCGTTATAGATTAACATGTAAGTCAATTATTTGGTATTTTTTAAGTGGTATGTTTCTTTTACATTTTGAATTGATGAAATACAGAAATTGTTTTTGCAGTTGATAAAGATAAAGAATCTTAAATAACGCTGAAATATACATATAACTAAACAAGCGGTTTTAAAATATACGTTTGACATTTGGTTATATATAGTACTTGAGAAATGAATGCAATTTATACAATAGATAAAAAAATAAGGAGATGTGGTATGATTGCCAGTGAGACAACTATCCACCAAAGTTCAAAATTTAATGAAGTGGATGTAAGCAATATAGGCAACCGTACGGCCTTCAACAATGAGAAAAAACCCATACCGTAAAGTCGGCTATAAAAGGCCCCGACATGAAAAATATGAAACAATTCAATTGATAAAACATAGAACTAAAGAAGCGATTTTAGAACATACATATAAAAAAAGTCTTTCGTCTTAAAAAAAATCAGTTAATATACGTGTAGATCTTATATTCAGAAAATGCATGGCAAAAATAAAATTGCTGTAATTGGAGAATTTATTGTTTTATTCAGATTTGAATAATTCATCAAAGCTACAAATTCGACTAGAGAGACAGGGATACGATGATCAAATTGTGATTTCCTTTATGAATACTTCATCAACTCCTAGCTGTTACTACCAGTCGCTTGTAAGTTTGTAACTATATACACTGTTTAGCCAATCATTTGATTCATCTTTTTTTCTCGGTTTGTTTAATGATTTTTGGGTAACACTATCAATCATTTTACTTCTTAACTTTTATTTTCATTTAAAAATAAAAAAGGAGATGTGGTATGATTGCCAATGAGACAACTAACGAACAGTGTCCAAATGACGGATTCTAGCAACTATATGTCACCGTACGGCCTTCAGCAGTCACTGAAAGTTAGTTCAAAGTCAATAACAACAAATATATAAATCATAAGAAGACCAAAGTTAACAAAGTATTCAAAGTTCTATAAATTAATAATTTAATTTTTATTTTAGGAGCTTTCAATTTGTGACAGTGCAACTAGTATACAAACCCGTTACACATATAAGCTCAGTTATCACATTTTATTTCAGAATGCAACTGTGAGTATCACTCAATGTAAATCAACAGAAAGTGGTTTTCTACTTAATGGGATGTGTCAGATTGTGATGAACAAATCAAAGACATGTGAAAGTCAAAAAAGCAACGTGGAAGTAATGTGTTATTTAGGAAATAAACTTAGCAAGACATTCGAGTTTTCAGCGTGTCATATACAAAGTATGTTTGAGTTTTATACAAATTTCTACTCACTGCATACTACATTGTACATTCATACATATAAAAGAGAGGCAAAAGATACCAAAGGGACATTCAAACTCATAAGTCGAAAATGAACTGACAACGCCATGGCTAAAAAAAGAAGAAGAACAACAGATAAAAACAGTACAAAATACTCAACATAGAAAACTAAAGACTGAGCAACACGAACCCCACCAAAAACTGGGGGTGTACCGGAAGGCTAAGAAGATCCTGCTCCATATGTGGCACTCGTCGTGTTGTATTAGTACAAACCCGGTGATAAGTCTAATTCTGTAGATATCACATTCGGGAAAAATGGGACGGGATTGTAGTTATGACAATTAGAACATATCCGTTGTCATCTGTGAAACAGATATTCCAAAACGGTCAGCCAACTCGTGACGGGATGATTCACACTTCACCACTTGGGACTCTTAGTTTAATAGCTTCCTCGCGAGCATCGACCCTCTATCAAGGAACATGATAGGAAATACAAGCCCTGGAAATCTTATCAACGGGGAGATATATACTCCGTATGCAAGCGCCGCTGGAATGTTGCTACATAGAAATGAAGAGTTCACAATTTGGAAGCTGAAATATATATAAATCATATGACGTATAAATATATAGACAACAGTCAAAATAAACCATCCGTACTGAAATTTTTGAAAAGTGATGTGTTTTAATTAATTTTTTTTTTTATGTCTTTCCAAAAGTATAAATGCAATTTGAAGTCTTCTTAATACATTCTTTTATTTACTTTATATTGTTTGCATGATTGTATTTGTGATATTTTTTTAATTTCTATAGATGTTGCAGTTGTACAAGAAATTGCTCTGATATCAGCTGTTTGTTCTGTCTTAGGTGTCAGCATGCTAATTTTTATTTTTATTATCATCTATAAAAAGAAACTTTCAAAAGGTACATATATTAGATAAATCACATATGTTCAAAAAGATACATTGACGCACATCAAACTTATATTTACAAAATCGTTTCTTTTGAATGTCCTACATGTATTAGCTTAGAGGTACAAGTAACTTACACTTATGATACTAATTGTGGTTCCACTATATATGAGTGTGGCATAAACTTTCTAATAGTAAGTGTATCAGTCCATAGTATTTAACAATCCGTCACAATGTCGTTAACGAAGCCCCGTACATTAAACAACTATATTTTAAGAAAAAAAGTTTCATTTTCTCTATCCTGCAATTAATTTGAGTATTATTTTTCTTTTGACCTTTTTATTGTAATAACTATCGTTTAAAAAATTGTCTACGTTTTCATTATTACCATAGATAATACCAATTTTACTGCACCAGGTACGAATTTCGACAATAAATGTTTCTTTAGTGATGCTCGAGGCCAAAATATTTCAAAATCTAAATCTTATTATAACAATGAATTATAACCAGTAAAAGCAAAAAATAGTATAAAACATGATTGCTATAAGATGTTGAATTTAATAACTGACACTAATAATTCTAATCTCTCAGTACCCATTACTCAGTACTATAACAGATTTACGTGCCATCATGTTCCTTTCGATCTCATTCATAGAATCTATTTATTGTACTTGTAGGACGAGATGAAGATCCATGCAAGAATTGTCAGAAGGACTCGGGTTATAGTACTGACGTGACGAGTAAATTTTTACAAAACGAACCAGAATAAAGTAATATCTCAATCGCTGTTTTATTTTTTCTTACTACTTCGTTTGGAGTGCTGAATAAGATAAACATGTTTTTGTTTGTGCTGTTTTTTTTCTATTCAATGAATTAAGTATAAAGAAAATGAGATGTGGTATCATTTAGAGAGACAACTATGTGGCTCGATTCCAGGACGAACGTGCCAGTCCACACAATCCAGGTATGGGTTTTGCTCATTGTTGAAGGCCGTACGGTTGCCTATAATTGCTTACATCCACTTTGAACTTTGGTGGATAGTTTCTCATTAGCAATCATTCCACATCTCCTTATTTTTACAATCAAAGACTTGAAAATTTGCATTTGCTGTTTTTCCGTCAGCATTCGGTATTAAGAAGTAAAAGCTAATACTGGTAGACTCGGAGTCACAATAATGTGTCCGTATAGAGTGTATTGTCAGCATGCTGGCTGTGAACACGGTAAAAATACGGCTGATAGTATCGGACTAGTACACAAAAGACTATGACTCAATAAACTATACAGAGGTACTACCGTTCTATATTGAGATTGTTAATTTAGTGTACTCAAAATTATTATTGATCGATAAATCATGTAAATAAATGTAATACTATGTGCATATGTGACTTAAGTTAAAGTGTATGTTGATCGAATAGGTAAGTGATGCTTGTTTGTCTGTTATGTTATTGGCACCGGTGAATGGTTATAAAATGTGAAATGTTGCCAAAGAGGTAAACAAAGTCACAAGTCAAAGAAAGACAGATAATAAAAATGATTAAAAGTGAAAAGACGGAACGACAAACAACAATCCATAAATAGAGGAAACAATTGAGCAGTACGCAATTGTAACATAAAATATTGTAGCCCATGAAATATTGTCGTTGGACCAAATTTCATATAAAATATTGTCTGCAGACACTACTTCATAATGAAATACTGTCCAGGACAATATTTCATTATGAAAAAGTGTCCTTGTCCATGAAATTTTGTCACCTCCTTCAGGACAATACTTTACTATGAAATTCTGTCCATGACAATATTTCACTATGAAATACTATCTATGACATTAATTTATTTTACTGTGAAATTCTGTCTATGACAATATTTCACTGTGAAATACTGTCCTTTAATAGATTGAAGAATTGTCTAATGTGTGTTCCATTGTACTTTATTATACTGTATAAATATAAATAATGTACTGACAATCGCTAATATATGTTCAAAATTGAATGTACTAAAAGTATTCGTGAATACTAGATTGACGAATCTTTTTACGACGGCGTTTTGGAGGTACAGGAGTAACGGGAATGTCCTTTTCAAATACCTCCCATTCATTATAGACAAAATTTCATGCCAATCTGTCTATGAAATTATGTCTCAATATACACAAAATATAACCTCCCTTTAGCAAGATAAAATTTCATAATGAAAATTTGTCCTTCTCTGGACATTTTTTCATAGATGAGGACAATATTATTAGTTACATGGTGTGTTAGTGACCTATTACGATATATATGGGGTCTGTAAATTCCATATGGGGTGGGAGCCAAGCTCGAATCCCCATAGTGAATTTACTGACCCCATATATATCGTATTAGGGCACTAGCACACCGTGTGACGAATTTGTCTTACCGACTATCTCCATATGTGGTATTTTGATAAGCGACCTATCAAAGTGATTTTAAAGTCTTCAATACTTAGCATTAAGATCCTACTTCCATTTGTCTTTAGAGAAAACAAATGCCCACAATAACAGCTCTTTAACTTTAAATTTGTTTTATGAATTTATTTCAATCGTTCATTACATGTATCAGTTTCTTCCTCTGTTGAAACCTTTCAAAGGGAAGTAACTCCTTAATGCCAACAATAACAACTTGTTAGCTTTAATTATGTTTTATGAATTTATTTCAACCTTTCATCATCAATTTGTCCGTCTGTTGAAACCTTTCAGATTTTTCTTCAACACCGTGTTGTTTTTATAAAGGGTCGTGCCATCTTTTTTGTTTTGAAAGGGAAGTAACTCCTTACTAACCCCATATGGTAACTAACCATGTATGGTAACTAACCCTATATTTTTAAGGACACCCTATATCAAATATACATAGTCACCACGTGTAGTCCTTTAACCAATCATATCCCTATAAATCTATAGGAGGTAACGATAATAAAAGTATCTTAACATGTGGTATTAAGACTAGTGGCCTATCAAAGTGATCAAGTCTTCAATACCGTTAGTATTAAGAATCTTCTTCCATTGGGCTATACAAAAACAAATTCCAACAATAACAACTAGTTAGCTTTAAATGTGTTTTATGAATTTATTTCAAACGTTCATCATCAATTTCTTCGTCTGTTGAAACCTTTCAGATTTTCCTCAACACCGTGTTATTTTTTTATAAAGCGACGTAACACCACTACTGACCGTGTATTGAAATAAGCTCCGCCTACTAACCCTATATGAAATATACACGGTATCCACGCGGTTGCTTTTAACCAATCATATTCCTAGAAATGTATAGGAGGTACGATAAAATAAGTTACATGGTGTTAGTGACCTAATACGGTATATATGGGGTCAGTAAATTCCATATGGGGTGAGAGCGAATCTCGAATCCCCATATGGAATTTACTGACCCCATATATATCGTATTAGGTCACTAGCAGACCGTGTAACGAATTTATCTTACCGACTATCTTCACATGTGGTATTTAGACTAGCGGTCTATCAAAGTGATTAAGTCTTCAATACTTAGTATTAAGAACCTACTTCCATTTGTCTATACAAAAAACAAATGCCAACAATAACAACTTGTTAGCTTTTAATTTGTTTTATGAATTTATTTCAGTCATTAATTACAAATTTCTTTGTCTGTTGAAACTTTTCAGATTTCTTTTTTGTTTTGAAAGGGAAGTAACTTCTTACTAACCCCATATGGTAACTAACCCCATATTTTTTTTAGGACACCCTATATCAAATATATGTAGTCACCACATGTAGTCCTTTAACCAATCATATCCCCAGAAATATATACGAGGTAAGATAATAAAAGATAACATCTAAAAATACAAAATTACAAGCAAAAATAATGAGAGTACACTCTGCTGTAGTACACTAACAACGTTAAACCGTTGAAAGGGGAAACAACAATAATGTCTCAAAGGAGATATAAATATATACTTATAAATGTTAATACATGTATATATCAAGATCTTTATTTAATGTAAGAAAAACATCACATGCCGCATTCACCGGTTTTAAAAGCGTTTGACGCCTACCTTTTCATATGAATAATAAATCAATTAGCTGAAGTTGTGTATGGTAAATTAGGTTGTCGTTCGCCAGTTAAATGTTCATATGAATTTAGACAAACATCTTTCTTAAATGTGTGGTTTTCATCAATGTCCTCTTTGTTACTTTCCCCATTTGACGACGAACGACTGCTATCACTTTCACTTTTGATCATTAACAAATTAACTGGTTGTTCATATTCACTGTCCACGTCCGTTTCCTGATCAGGGTTAAAAGCAGCATTGTCAATGATTTCGTCTTCATTTATTTCATCATAAGGACCGTAAGGTCTGGCTTCAAAATGTTCGTTTTGCGACGGATCCTGTTGAATTGATGTGTTTTTCTTTTGGCGTCTCAATCTTCTGATGACAAAAGCGCCGATAGCTATCACCAATATGAAAGTTACAGGCCCAGATCCGACCATCGCATAATAGAAAATGATAGTATTTTCGGCTGAAAACAAATGGAGCACAGTTATCAAGTTTAATTTGTCCTGTAATTAGCCTTCTTTTATACAATTAACAAGTATGCACATAATATTTGCTTTTTTGTACAAATAAAGTCTCGAGTTCAAATAAAGTCTCATGTTACGCTGCTGCCATATTGAGCAAACGGTAATGTGAATTTCTCTTTTTGTGTGACAGTTCATTTTGGGGTCCTCTTCGCGATCCGCGCTCAACCTTTATTGATTTTTTTGAAAAATCAGAGACAACTATTTGGTTTCAACAACTAAACCGTTAAGTTTCTGGTGTTAATTACAGGATAAAAAAGAATATATGTTCATCGTTCGAAATATGGAATTTATTTGTACTCGCAACGAAACAGTAAAAAGCTCGGCGAGCCTCGCTTTTCGTGCTGTTTCTAAAGCTCGTACAAATACATTTTATATTTTCCGACACTGTACATATATTGTATATGTATTCATGTATATTCCTTCTTTCTTCCCCGTATTATTTCAATGTGATTCTTGTAGCATAGCCATAGTTAACTTTTGAAAGCATAAGGTTTTGATATTCCCGAAGTGATTCAAAGAAGACCTATGTTATGAAATTGATCATTATGTCATTAAGTTCTTTTAAATTACCTACAATATAAAAATAAGAAGATGTGGTATGATTGTCAATTAGACAACTCTCCACAAGGGACTAAATGACACAGAAATTAACAACTATAGGTCACCGTAAAGCCGTCAACAATGAGCAAAGCCCATACCGCATAGTCAGCTATAAAAGGACATGAAATGACAAATGTAAAACTATTCAAACGAGAAAACTAACGGCCTAATTTATGTAGAAAATAATGAACGAAAAGCGAATATGATATACAGCAACAAACGACAACCACTGAATGACAGGCTCCTGACTTGGGACAGGAACATACATAATGTGGCGGGGTTAAACATGTTAGCGGGCGCCCAACCCCCACCCTTACCTGGGACAGTGGTGTAACAGTACAACATATGAACACACTATAAAAATCAGTTGAAAAGGGCTTAACTCATCAGATTTATACAAAGCAAAAACAAGTAACAAAAAACACAGAGTGGACGTGGCAGGGTACTTATACATCGATCCCACAACAAAAAGACACTAAGTACAGATCTGAGAGTACTCGCAGTAAATGACAGCTAGTTCAAAGCCAATAACAACTAATAAATAAATTCATGCATCTAAGACTAAAATATCAATCAATACACATCCAACATCCAATGGATTAAGTGTAAAGAGT